GACGCAGGACCCTCACTGCCGCCTGATGTCCTTTGCTTTTGCTTCATTGGCCTAGTCCTGGCCTCCGTGCTCCTGGAAATGCAGCCTGGCCCCCAGCCATTGCAAACATACACACTTAGAGACAGCGGGGTCCAGTGGCCCAGTGCAGAGACCTCAAATTCTTGGACAGTAGCCCACACTTGAGTGTTGGGAGTGGTGGGAGGGAGAGTATGTTTCCAAGACTCCTTGGAAGAATGCCGACTTAGGATCTATTTTCCAGAAGCAGATCCTGGAACCAGGATGTGTGTGTGTGGTTTTCTACAGAAACCTCTGGCTGTTCAGAAGTTGCTGAAGAGCCTTGGTCAGCAAAGTCCCTTTTGGAGGGTTGCTTGCATCTAACCCCCACACACTGCTCTAGAAGCTAAGCCAAGTCGGAAGTAGAAAGCTGGCACCCACAATCCCAGCCTGCTAGAGACTGGTGAGGGTGCACCCTGGGAACACAAGAGCTCTTTGGCCTTCATGTGTGCTTCCTCAGGCATTTCTCCAAGAGACTGGCTGTTGGAAGGCAAAGCTCAGGGACATGCGCGCACACACACAGACACACACGCGCACAGCACACACACACTCACACATACATATACACACAGACACACACATACACACGCGCACAGCACACACACTCACACATACATATACACACAGACACACACATACACACGCGCACAGCACACAAACTCACACATACATATACACACAGACACACACATACACACGCGCACACGCACGCACACACACCTGTGTGAGCACATACATATGTGTGTGGGAAGCTGCTTGTGCCAGAGAGGGCACCCAGTGTCCTCCTCTATCATTTTCTGCCTATTCCTTTGAGGCAGGATCTCTCCCTGAACATGGATGGGCCTTTTGCTTTCTAGGCTGGAGACCAGAAAGCCCCAGCAATCTTTGTGTCCTTGTCCACCCTGGAGCTATGTTTACAGACGTTTGTGGGAATGCCTACAAATTTAGAAATCTACGTAGATCCTGGGGACCTGTACTCCAATCTTCTCGGTTACAGAACACGTGATCTTAATCCAGTCCCTTGTTGTAGATTCTTTAGCTGATGTCAAGTTATGTGCTGATAAGGAGAGGCACTGCGGTTTGAAAATCAGAAGAAAATTTTCAAAAGGAGGCTAGAGAGACTGTTCAGTGGGTGCAGATGTGCATGTCTAAGGACCTTAGCTGGGATCCCCAAACACACACAAAGCTGGATGCATAGTACCCATCTGTGATCCCAGATGGGAACAGAAACATTAGAATACCAGAAACTCATGGGCCAGGCAGCCTAGCACAACACTGGTAACAACAAGAAATCCTGTCTTGAACAAGGTAGCGGGCGAGAACCCACACCCGAGGTTGTCCTCTGACCTCTATACATGCACTCACACTTATACAAGTATACATACACACTCAAATATGCACACAACCCAATATGTTAAATAAATAGATGCCCAAGCAACAGAAGAAAGACACCGTTTTGAACATTTGGCTCACACGTTTTAATGATGGCATAGTCTCTATTGTGTTGTCAGCCAGCTTTGCTTATGTCAGCAACAGTTATAAGCACTTGAAAAAAAAAATCATGCATCCTTCAGAGCTGCAGTCAGAGACCTAAGCATGGAACCTGACACAGCAGATGCTTAGCAAATCTGGGACGAGCAGAGGGAAGCTGCCTGACTAGAGTTCTGCAGGGGCATCAGTCTCTATGCATTAACTCCAGCAGAGTGAGGAAGTATCTCACTGTCCATGGTGCGGAGTGAATCCCATTATACAACATGGCACAACTTTCCTCGGGCCAGCGCCAGAGCTGGGATGAGATGACCCCATTGACATCAGCCAACAGGAACTAGTAGCTCTAGGGAGGAGTTACTTTAGTAAACCCTTTAATTGCCCTTTCTCGGGGATAGAGAGGGTGCCTGTAGAGGCTGGAATCTGAAATGTAACTCACAACCTGGTGGTTTTGAAGGCCTTTAGGAGATGGGGTCTGTCTCTAGGCGTGGGCCTATAAAGGTTATCCCCACCTGCTTTACCCCCCAGCTCAGACCCCTGGTTTACTATCGTCATCCCCCCCCCCCCCGCTTTACCCCCCAGCTCAGACCCCTGGTTTACTATGCTGCTCCCTGCCATCCCAGCCTTTATCATGGACTGAGATCCTTCTGTAACCAAGAGCCAAAAGGAAACCTTTCCTCTCCTAATATGCTTCCGTTGGGCATCCTGCTACGAGAAAAGTAATACAGTTCCCCGTCATTCCAAGAGACCCGAGCCTCTGGCCACAGGTTCTTTCTCTTAGGATTTAGTATTGGAATGAAAGAGATTGTAGCTGGGGGTTGGCCTCAGATTTCTTCTGTAGCTGGAAACACCCTGAGCTGCTGGCTCTCCTAGGCGCTGATTATCACTGTCACTTGTCCAGCATGATTAAGCTTACAAATGGCATGGCATATAGTAAGTATAAATAAAGGATAGGAAGACTATTACTAATAATGGCATCAGGATACCTGGCAGACCACTAGGTTTAAAAACATTGATTTTGTTCATTAATTCACATCATAAATCCAAACTAAAAAAAGAAAAAAAGCATGATGACACATGCTTGTAATCGAAGCACCTGAGTTCAAGAACAGCCTGAGCTACATAGTGAGAATCCTTCTTTAAAAAACATAAATGTTTAGAAAATAAAAAATAGACATGTTTGCTGGGAACCAAACCCAGGTCTTCTGCAAGAGCAGCAGATGCTCTTAGCCTGCTAAGCCATCTCTCCAACCCCATGCTGATTCATCTTAATAGCCACATATATATATATGTATAGTCTCACACCGTAGCCCAGGCTGGCCTGGAGGGCTTGAATTGCAACACTCCTCCTGACTCTACCTCTCAGGTACTGGGATCACAGACAGGAGTTACCATACCTGGTTTTCCTTGGTACGTTTCTATGAGTTTGTAAAAAACCAACTCTTAGACACTCTAATTTTTAGGAGTTTAGTTGCCCGTATTTACCTATATCTGCAGACACTTCCTTGTTGAACTTCCCAATGATCCTGAGGACAAAGAGAGCCTCTCAAACTTTGGGTGTGGGGAGGGGCACGTATGCAAATATTCCCAGCTCTGAATGTATTCAGGCAAAGAAATGTAAAAGACATTCTTACACAGAGATGGTGGTGGGAAGGGGTGTGAGTTAGCAGCTCCAGTCTCCATCAGCATTCCACCTAAGGTTTCCCCACGTATTTAAATTTTTTAATGTTTTTAGTTAGTTTTCATTTATTTGGGGTGGGGAGAATAGGCATGTGCTAAGGCATACATTAGAGGTGAGAGGACATATCGCGGTTAAATAAGGGGTAAGGGAGTTCTTTTTTTTCTTCCAATCAGGACTGTGGTACTCAGGTGGACAGGCTTAGCACCTTTAAGCCATCTTCCAAGCCCTCTTCCCCTTTTTGAGACAGTGTCATGTATCTCAAGACGGTCTCAAATGCATTGTGTAACCAAGAATGACTTTGAACTTCTAATCCTCCTGCCTCTGCCTCCACCTCTCAAGTTCTAGGATTACAGGTTCATGCCCTCATACTGCGATTTTGTGCTGGGGGATCAAACACAGGGCTTTGTGAATGCTAGGCAAACACTCTATCAACAAGATACCTTGTTACCATCACCCCCAGCCTTCATTCTACAAAAAAAAAAAAAAAAAAAAAAAAAAAAAAAAAAAAAAGTGAATTTAGCCAACCTGTATCTATCTAAGGTGTACTGCCAACAAGGCTTCACACCTCAGATCTCTCTCTGTGGCTCCACAGGTCACAGCTCTCGGGCTGTGGGACTGGAGGTTTTATTCCTTCCCATCTCTCTCCTCCTCGCCATGGGTCATTCCCACGGAGCCATACTAAATCCAACACTACCCTAATGAGACTTTCCAGTGGCTTGAATGAGCATTTTACTTACTTAAAAGTCAAAATAAGAAACGGGGCATAATATGCTGATCCTTCAAAGTAAAAATAGTGGTCCAACATCGTGCTGGCAGTTACACAGAATTATTCGTGTAAGTTATTGGATTGTGTTCCCCTCCTACTTAAAATGTCCAGTTTCTTCCTGTAGGCAATAAATTCCCAAAACATGGAGGAAGGAGCCGTTCACTTTAGAGACAGTAAGACGGCTCAGCAGGGGAAAGCGCTAGCTGCCAATATTGACTACCTGAGTTTGGTCTTCAGAACCCCGCATGGTGGAAGGAGAGAACGGACTCTCGGAGGTTGTGTTGACTCCCACACGTGCATCCTCACGGCGTAAATAAAATAATACATAGCTGGCATGGTGGGGCACACGTGTACTCCCACCACTTGGGAGGGAGGGGCAGGAGGAGCAGACCAAATCACACGACATGAGTGAGACCCTGCCTCAAAATATCAAAGTTAAGCAAGTGCAACTTAGGGTTTTTCAGTTACAATTTTTATGGCGTTGATGACCCAACCCAGGGCTTTGTGCACGCGAGGCAGGCACATTCCAAACCCTCCATTTATTTTGATTTACTTATGAGATTTCAAAGGTTAGTATGCCCGGGACTATAGCTCCCAAAGGCACTCACAGCCTAAGTTCGATCCCCGGAATCCACAGAGTGGAAACAGGGACCTATTCCTGCAAACTGTCCTCTGAACTCCACACACACTACAAATAGACGGACAGACAGACACGTGGGTACATGCATGCATGCATGCATGCATACATACAAAAATGTAATTAAAGCAACCACGAAAGGGATATAAACGCCGCGACTCCACCAGTCAGCAAACCCTCCCTCCCTCCCTCCCTCCCAGCCACCCCGAAACACCGGGACCGCGCCACAGGGCCCGCGCGGGCGTCACCATGAGCTCCCCGCCCCCACACCGCCCTTCCGCAGGCCACTTCCGGCCTGGCGGCCCTCCGACGTCAGAGGCGGGCGGAAGTGCCCCCGGCGGAAGTGCCCCGGCGGAAGTGCCCGCCCCCCGGTGAGCTGGGGGTAGCATGGCCGCAGGTGGGCTCCTCGTGCGTCGTCTCCGCGCGCCCTTGCGCCCCCTTGCCCGGAGCGTGCTCTCGGACGCGCCGCGCGCCGGGGCCATGCACGGCGGGGGCGGCCCCCGAAGCCTCGCCATCGAAGGCAACATCGGTAAGGGCCGGGAGGCGGCGTCCGCGCCCTGGCCGCTCCGCGTCGGCCCCGGTCCGGCCCCGACCCGTTGCTTCTGCTTGTCAGGTTTTTCCGCCCACACTGCACCGTGGGTTTTGGTTTTTGGGGACATCGGGCCTCGGCACCCGCCCACCCGTGGGGACGTAAAAGCCACGCAGGCTGCAGACAGCCGCAGAGTTGCATTGGTTTCCCGGCGTGTATCCTTTTCGCTAGAAATAGACCAGGCTGCGGTGCGCCGTTTGCCTTCCTAAAACAGGGTTACCAGATTTAGTAAAAGTAAAAATAAATGTCCAGTTTACATAGAATTAAAAGATAATTTTAGCGTGCCACGTGCAGTGTTCGTGACATAACACTTAAAAAGTGACCCGTTGTTTATTTGTTCTCGGTTCTTAACAGAGTCCATTTTCACAGTCTTGCCCTAACCCATGTTTAGTTGGACTGAGAATTATTGCGGTGTTATTTTATTTTTATTTTGAGACAGTCATTTAGGTAGCCCTACCCTGGCTTCTTGGAACTTGCTGTTTAGACCAAGGTGGGCTTGAACTCACAGAATTTTTTTTTTTTAATTTAGAAATCTGTATAACACTTTTTGTTACAAGCAGCCCCGTGTCTTAAAACAAAACACACTGGCGCAAAATGGGTCAACTTACTTAATGTTGCTGAATCCTGAGGGTACTTAACTCTGTACGGACACTGGTCCACAGTGGCATCAGCAAGTATAGACTAGAGCCAGTCTCACTGTATTCATGCAAATCACCCTTTCTGCATCTTCCCTGCACCAGCACTACTCTTGGCCATTCTCAGAACAAATAAAAAGTCTCCACTCCCGGGATTGAATAGGAGTGATGCACAGGTCACTCCCTACTAAACTATAGAGATTAAGCTAGGTCAACAGTGTATTAGGTAGTGATGAGTAGGATGAAGGAAGACATTAAGGATGAGAGGTTGAAGGTAATTGTTTTCTAAGTAGGGTGCTCCACAAATACCTCGATGATGAGGTGATGTTTGATCAATAACCCGGATGATGTGAGAGACTGAGCCATGTGAGTAGATGATGAACGTTAGTCCAAGCAGGAGCAAGTAGAAAACCCTGGGGTTCGAATTGTGTTCGGTGACTATGAGGGGATCTGATTCAGCTGAAGTAGAGTAACCAAGGGGTCAGTGGAGGACGATGAGGTCAGGTTTGAGGTGTTGAGGGATAAAAGCTTCACCTGTCCAATGCATTGAAAGCTGACGATGTTGATTGGAAAGCCACTGCAGTAATAAGATAAGTTGGGCCCTGGTGTGAAAAGTTTCTACACTCTGGTTAAGTCTCTCAGCCCATGCAGCAATCCAAATCAGACCAAATTAGGAGAACTCCGTGTTTAATGGATAAATTGCTCCCAGATGGCCTTCCAGTCCCCCAGAGAGGAGACGGGAAAAACCAGGAGTCTGTTTTCTGGGGGACAGTTTAAATGCCCTGTGGGAGTGTTCTTGAGCATCTCTGGTTTCTGAGATGCAGCAGGGTTTGGAGAGAGATAGGGGAGGGGCTGGGGTGCAAGTTCCACCATAACATTCCCGACTCTTTGGGTATATGGATACCAGTGGCTGGGGTGAAGGTTACATTTTAAGGTAGGGCCACTGGACCTAGTGTAGATGAGGTGTGTATGTTAGAGGGGTCAGTGATGACCTCAATCATTTTTACTTGGACAGCCTTTGGAAGACTTAGTTTGGATTTTTTTTTTTAAACCTGTATTTCTTTGCTTACTTATTTTATCATGGGGTCTTGTGCCACTGAAGTACATCCCAACCTTTAAAAAATTTTTTTAAAAAAGTATTTTAGTGGGCTGGGCGGTGGTGGTGCACGCTTTTAATCCCAGCACTTGAGGCAGAAGGAGGTAAATCTCTGAGTTTGAGGCCAGCCTGGTCTACAGAGCGAGTTCCAGGACAGCCAGGGCTGTTAAAGCACAGCCCTAGTTTTAGTTTTGTGTCTGTGTGTGAATATGTGTATGTGAGTGCAGGTTCCCTCCCATGCTGGGAGAGTTGCAGGTGTTTGTGAGCCACCAGTATGGGTAGTGGGAACCAAATGTAGGTCCTCTAGAAGAGCTGGAAGTACTCTTACCTGCTAAGCCATCTCTCCAGCACAGACCACGTGTTTTGTTTTTGGCCCTTCACACACACACACACACACACACACACACACACACACACACACACACACGGCATCAGACTTGCATATATAGTTCAGGCTGGCTTGGAAATCCCAGTGTAGCTCAAGCTTACCTTGAACATACAGTAACGAATTACAGTTGTGTGGTAACACACAGCTCAGGTTGTCTTAAATGGAGACGTTTGGGAAGAACAGGTTGTGTTAGTGGTTTAAGAGTTGGTTTGAAGGATGTTGGGTTTGCTATGTGGCTAGTAGAAGTGTTGGATATGCTGTTGGGTATGAGTGGGAAATGCAGAGCTAGACATGTAGATGGCATTTAAAGCCAGAAGACTGCACTGAAGGAAAGGGCTGAGTCCTGTAGCTGAGGACCTTAAGATGAAGAGTAGTGAGCAGAGGAGACTGAGAAGGGGAGGAAACATAGACAGTGGCATCCTGGGAGCAGGCAGAGCTGTTCAGAGGGAGGGAATGTGCACTGGGTAATACTGTTTGAGTGAAGGTTTGGTGATCTTGAACAGTTTCAGGAGTAGTGGAAGGCTTGGTTGTCATAGGTTCAAGGAGAAAGGTGAGGTGCAGAGTTGCAGAGGGTAGGTTAAAGCAGTGGACATGGCTCCAGAATTGCAGAGGGTAGGTTAAAGCAATGGACATGGCTCCAGAATTGCAGAGGGTAGGTTAAAGCAGTGGACATGGCTCCAGAATTGCAGAGGGTAGGTTAAAGCAGTGGACATGGCTCCAGAATTGCAGAGGGTAGGTTAAAGCAATGGACATGGTTCCTAGAAGGGCATGGCCTGGTAGCTGCAGTTGGAAGACAGTTTGCACTTTTTTTTTTTTTTTTTTTTTTTTTTTTTTTGAGACACGGTTTCTCAGTACAGCCCTAGCTGTCCTGGAACTCACTCTGTAGACCAGGCTGACCTGGAACTCACAGACATCCCCCTGTCTCTGCCTCCCGAGTGCTGGGATTAAAGGCGTGCGCCACCACTGCCCAGCAATTTTTCTTTCTGTGAAAGAGTAAAACATGTGAGTGAGTTTATTTTTTAAATGGTCTGGTTGTTACATGTCTTTACTTTGTGTGTGTTTGCTTGTGTCATGGCTCCTGTGTGGAGGTCAGAGTGTCAGCATTCACCTTTCCCCTCTTCCTGTCTTTGGATGCAAAGCTGCCTCACTCCCCTGATGCCATGACTTCCTCCCCATGATGGACTCAAACTGAGCCAGAAGAAGCCCTTCCTCCCTTTGATTGCTGTGTCCGGTAGTTTGCCATAGTAACAAGAAGAATAAGGTAGTGACAGAACAAGAGGCTTGCAGAGGATGGCTGGCCAGATGTTGGCGAGCCTATAGATGCCAGTCTATCCTGTTGGCCGCCGGCAGCTGTCTGAGCTCCCAGAGAGTTGAAATCAGTGTGTGCCATTGACCAGACTAGTTTCTAGAAAGAGACAGTAAGTGCATAAACAAGTGCTTCATAGAGTAGACACTTTCTATGTCACACTTGTTGCAGTACCCGTAGTGCTTTGTTCTTTGCTTGTCCCATGCACAAGTAGGTAGATGGAAAGATCTAGAGTAAATACTCTGGTTTCTATGACTATCGTAGTAGAAGGAAAGATGACACGGGCTTGAATGGAGAGAGAAAGAAGCAAGAGTTCAAAGGGCGTCTGGGATGGAGGGTGCCAGGACTTCGTGGCTGCTTAGTGGTTAGAGAGGAGGATGGGGTGCTCAGCTTTAATAGTTTGGATTGTGACTCAGGACGCTGAGGATGAAATAAAGGAAGAGCTGTTCAGGGGAGGTACACTGATGCATTCTGTCTGCTGATTGGCCATGTTCCCAGAGTGCAGAGACTGGAGAGGGGGCAGGGGTAGCAGGCATGGAGCTGGTGGCAGGCGTAAGTAGGCAGAGCTCTGGAGGTGAAGCACAGTGATCTGGGAGAGTGGACCCATTACCGTGCACTCAGATGGCTGTCCCACACACAGTTACTCATCCTGCGTGGGTTGGCACAACTTCCTAAGTGCTGCTGAGATGATTTGCGTGTTCAGTGGCTTCCCTGTGTTGGAGCCAGAGGGCCCTGTTTATTTTTGTGTTGCTCTGCCTTGGTGCTCATGAAGTGATTGCCAGAGTCCTGGCCTGGCACATCCATATGGAGGTTAGTCATTACTACACTGGTGTGATCCGGAAGCCAGGCACTCAGAACTCCTGAAAGCCTAAACGATTAGGTACCTAACTGACCTTTTAGTTCTGATCATCCGTGTGTGGCCCGCTGTCTCCTGAAGTCCATTACATTCAAAGTGCAGGTTATCACATGAGATAACTAACCGTGGGCCATCCGAGCCCATTTTGAATTTTTTCACTTTCAAAGATCTCCTGTGGGAAGAGGAGACAAGTCTGAAGACTTGGTGTAAGGTGAGGGGAACTTTGCTAAGGACATGTTTTTCCTGCATTCAACATTAGGTATCCTATGCACTCTGGTGTGTCTTTTAGTTGTATCAGATTTTAAAATGGGCAAACAGTCCTGGTGGGGAAGGACCTACCTATATCTAATCTTGGCATTTGGATTCTCTTGTCTCTGTGAGTCACCTCATTCTTAGATTACTATTCTTAGTACCTGGCTAGGCACCCCGCATGGGAAGGGGGAAGGTACAGTCTGTCGTCACAAAGCGAGCTCCCAGCCTGGCTGGTGAGAGGGGAAGAGAGAACACATAATTACAGTCTAATACCTTGGTAAACTAGAGCAGGCCATAATTAACTGTGCCTAGGGATGGAGGGGGCTGGAGAGAGTGCAGGGGAAGGGTGAGCCATGGGTAGGCTTGGTAGGGAGGAGAGCACCGTCTGTCCATCAGTCAGTTCCTTT